TAAAGATGTCGATTTGGGTTTGGCACGCCTGGTTGCTGCTGGGTTTTTGTTGGTCAATAAAGAAGATAAATGTTTCTTCAAACATCCGTCTCAACGAAAGATTTATTCAACAACGTATTGCAAGGCTGTTCCTGGGGTCGAGAAAGTGGAGGAATTTGAAAAATTGTTGAAAGATCGTTATTCCATTGATTATGAGATATACAAAAAGAATTTTCTGGAATCAGCAATGCTACCGGCGGATAACGAGCTAACAGAATTTGGGAAATCAATTATGAATTCGGCTGAATATCGTAGGATTCTGAGAAACAATGGACCAATAGATTCTGGTTAGATTTTCAGCTTGTTCTGATAAGGGTATTTTCTGTGAGGGTATTTTTGTGGTTTTAGGTGGTATGGCAGACGAACTAGGTGAATCTGATGGTTGTATTGATACGCATTCGGATCTTGCAGAACAATCTGAGACAGTTTCGAGCGGTGCGGCGCACGAAGTAGTTGAAATGAATGATTGTGTTAGGGCTGCGTCGAGCAGTTCAGAACAATCCGTAGTAGAACGGAAATTAGTGGAGCGAACACCAAGAAAACTCATCAAGATTATTCAATCCATTTTACGTCGACGATCAGTTATGTTCAGCAAAAGTTATTTAAACTCATTGAACTTCGATTCAGAAGATATTTCAAGCAGCATCCAATTGTTAATTGAATCCAATATTTTATGTGTGAAGCCAATGGTCACAAGCAACAATCGAAAGTATGATGTTTACTTGAAGGTCATCCCATCAACGGATATTGTCGAAGAAAAGCGATTTGAAGAAAAACTGTACAATTTTGAAATTGCTCTGGAAGATTACTATGACGGTTGTCGCGGTTTAATGGTAACAGGAGCGTCAGTTCTAACGGAGGAAGCACGGATCGAGTTGACATCAGCACCCTATGATCGGTTCAATATTCCCATTGGAAAGACAGACGTGAAGAACTGTGAAATGCTACAAGGTATTTTAAAGTGAGCTAAATTTGTGTTTCCGCGCTTTTAACTGTTTATGAATTTAGTAGGAAACGAGCAAATATCAGAGAATTGTGATCGTTCTTGCAGCGCAACTGGCACGAACAATGAAGAAAGTAGGTTGATGTATAAGGTATCTGGTTGGTTGGGTATTACTGTTTGGAGTTTATTGTCTTTTTTTCAGCGTCCGATGAAGATGCAGACGACACTGCAAGTATTGCACACAGACTAAAAATGGCGAAATGGTCCCGTAATTGTAGAAAGAAACCAAAAGTTTAATTGGCGGGGATGGAAGTGATTGATGCTTATGTTTTGTATCGTTATTTGTTTTTTCCGGACTTATGGTTTGTTGTAGTTGATTCAGTTTTATAGCGGTAAATAAAAGAACTTTGTTGAACGGTTTTGTTGATAACAATACAAATGATAATTGGATATTGTTGTGTCTAAAAAAATTGTTAATGATGTAGAAGAACAAGAACTTTGTTAGATGCATCGCCTTAAATGATATCATGTTGTAGCATAAGAAGAACTGTATGGTTTTGACTGTATATTATCTTTTCGGGTCGATTGTTTGTCATTTTCAGATTCGGCAGATACGATGAGTAATACTGTGTACGGCTATGGTTGTGCAGGTTGTGTTATGTCAATCGGTGAAGATTGCGAAGAACAGAAATTTATACTACAAACAACAGACAGTGATGACGAAGAACTGTTGTCAGTCGTGCTAGAAATGGAAAAAGTGTTTTATTCGAGTCAAGATGAGAGCACACAATCTCTATCGCCAAGTATCAGAGTGTTGCTGCATTCGAAGAGTGATGATGAACATTTGTTGCCTGTCATGTTGGAAATGGAAAAACTGTTTTCTTCGAACCAGCAAAAGGTCAAAGCATGTGAATCGGCAAGTAGTAGTACAGTATTCGGTACGAACGAAACAGAATTGTTGAGCTCTTCTGACATCGCGGAGACGAAAAGTCAGAGTGGGACCAGATTTCGGAACCTAGTTCAGCAGGT